GAAGAGCCATAGACCGAGAAGTCGTCCATGAAGACCTCAACCATTTCCTCTATTAGATCCGAAAAGATAGAAAGCATGGCTCTTTGAAATGTTGCTGGGGCATTACATAATCCAAATGGCATTCTTCGATATGCGAAGGTGCCATATGGACATGTAAATGTGGTCTTTTCCTGGTCATTTGGATGGATTGGAACCTGGAAAAAACCACTGTAGCCATCCAAGAAACAATAAAATGGATGACATGCCAACCTTTCAAGCATTTGGTCAATGAATGGCAAAGGAAAATGATCTTTCCTTGATGCAGAATTTAACTTACGATAATCAATGCACATTCTATGTCCAACTATTGTCCTACTTGGGATCAATTCATTCTTTTCGTTCTTGATGACAGTAATCCCACCCTTTTTTGGGACGCAATGTACTGGAGAAACCCAAGTACTGTCCGAAATAGGGTAAATGATTCCTGCATCAAGAAGCTTTCAAGATTTCTTTCTTTACTACTTCTTTAAGATTGGGGTTTAACCTACGCTGATGCTCAATAGATCCCTTTGATTCATTTTCGAGATGGATCCTGTGAGTGCATAGAGTAGGGGAGAGACCCTTGATATCGTCCAGCGAGTATCCAAGAGCTCTCCTGTACTTTCGCAGCTCGACAAGGAGGGTTTCAAGCTCATGGGGGTCTAATGCATCATTGACAATGACAGGGTATGTGGAGTTAGAGCCTAAGAACGCATACCTGAGCCCCTTTGGGAGTGGTTTGAGATCGACTTTGGGAGCCTTAAGCTCAGACCAGTCATCGTCCGTGCCTTGCTCTTGAGAGCTTTCCTCCTTTGGTTTGACTCTAGAGCAAACAGGTTCTCAACCTGTTTTCCATCCCGGATGCTCTTCGTTTCTGACTGAACCAACTCGTCAAAGCCTGTCCCTCTTTTGCTGCTCTGTGTGAGTCCATAAGCCAAGCATAACCCATACTCTCTGCTTGTAGACATCCAAACTCCTCATTATCCTTAGTCAAAGCCAGCTGCAGCTTATCCTCAACTCCCAATTCCTCCAAGTAGTCTTCGGCTAGCTGCTCAAGTGTTTCAATGTAAAACGACTCACCATTTATAGTTGGTTGCTTCATAACATCTTTTACATTGAACACCATCTTGCAGTCTTTACCCAAATTCAGCTCAATCTTGCCTCTTCTCACATCAATTATAGCTCCAGCAGTGGCAAGGAAAGGTCTTCCCAAAATCAGAGGATCTTTGGGTTCTTCATCCATCTCTACTACCACAAAGTCAGTTGGAACTATCACACTTCCCACCTTGAGTGGCATATCTTCAAGCATACCTACTGGAAGCTTAACTGATCTATCAGCAAGGATCAGAGAGAAATGACACTCCTTGTATTTCTCAAAACCCAAACGCCTTGCCACAGTCAAAGGCATTATGCTTACACTCGCCCCAAATCACACAAACTTTCTTGAATGCTAAAGGTCCCAAGAACAGGGAGAGTGAAGCTTCCAGGATCACCAAGCTTCTTTGTTACTGTCTTGCTTTGAATTATAGCACTACACTCTTGAGACAATACCACCATGCCTTGCACTTCCTTGGTTCTCTCCAAAATGGCATCTTTCAAAAATTTCTGATAAGGCTTGATCATCATGAGAGCATCCACAAAGGGATCTTTAAGTTGATCTCAGATAGTTGCTGATCAAAAACCTTTCTGCATTTCTCTGCCATTTGTTTCTTGAAACGTGTTGGAAAAGGTAGCATTGGCTTGAATGGTGGAGGAACAAAAAGAGTTTCCCTCCTCTTCTTGTTTCCTTTTGACGGCTCCGGTGCGCTGTCCTCTGCTTCTCAGGTCTACTGACTCTTTCTCAACTCTCCTCAGCTTCAATGTCGACTGACTCCTCCTCCTCTTGAATCGCAACGTCCTCGTTGCTTCTTGATGGTACCACTCTCTCCGGAAGAACTCTCCCACTCTTAAGAGTAATTGCTTGCACATACTCCTTTGGGTTGCGATTGCTTTTCCAGGAAGCATTCCCTTTGAAGAGGAAGGTATGTTGTGGCTCTTAGCTTCCAAGTGTTGAACCTTTTGTTTAAAGATTCCAACTTCTTGTTGAGGTCATTGTAAGAGCAATCCACCTTGTTGTTGATCTCGGCTAGCTTGGTGTTAGCTCAGTAGCACCACTTGTTTGGCCCTTTGATTAATTGTTGAAGCATGGTCTTCATATCAGTCTTGACTTGAGTTGCTCCCTGCTTGAGCTTGAGTTGAGCCTTGGTTCTGATTCCAAAAACCTTTGGTGGGTAACCACGCTTGAAGTAAACAGTTTGTTGGCCCCCTTGATTTTGGTTTTGTTGAGGTGGGTAGACCTGGTCTTGTGGATTCTCCACATTGGTGCTGCGGTAAGAGAGGTTCGTGTTGTTGTTTGTGTTGTAACCCTTGTAGTAACCTCCCTGATTACTCATATAGCACACTTCCTCAGTTTGTTGGTCCTCCCCCTCTTGGTTCACATCATCCTCACAAACAAAGTGAACTTGCTTTTGTTGGCCAGTCAAGATCTTGTCAAGCTTGTCATTCAATGTCTTTGATCTCCTTCTTGTGCTTTCATCATTGACTGAGCTATCTCCTCTATCACTTCGATCATACTCCTCTGGATAGTTTCCATCACTAAGAGCAACATTCTCCACCAAAGCGAGCCCATCATCTACATCCATTCCCATAAAATGACCCTTACTAGCTGAATCCAAATGCATCTTGTACTTAGGGGAGATTCCTCTGTACAACGTGCTTAGTAAGTTCTCTTTGGAGAAGCCGTGATGAGGACACTTCATTTGATATCCCTTGAATCGCTCATATGCCTCTGAGAATGTTTCACCGGTTTGTTGAGTGAAACTCGCAATGTTGTTCCTTAGCTGAGCAGTTCTTGACGTGGGAAAAACTTCGCAAGAAAGGCATGCTTGCATTGTTCCCAAGTTGTCACGGTTCCAGGTTGGATTGAAGACTCCCAAGCTAGTGCGTGTCCACTCAAAGAGAAGGGAACAATCGGAGCTTAAGAGCATCCTCAGTGACATTGTTGATCTTTTGCAAAGCACAAATTCTATCAAACTTTTCCAAGTGCTTCAAAGGATCTTCATCTTTCATTCCGTGAAAGATGGAATTCTCCACCAAGTTTATCAAGCTTGTCTTGATGTCGAAGTTGAAATTTGGGACCGGTGGTGGGGTAATGCCGGGACGATTCGCTGGAATCGTCGGAATATCGCCAGCTCCGATTTGTCTTGCCGGACGTTGAGCTTGAGCTGGATTCCCGGCTTGTGGTGGAAAAGCTCCCGGTGGAGGAGCTCCTCCGTGGTTATCTGCCATCGTCTCAGGACCAGAGTCGTCGTCACTGAGCTGTAACTCGGAGCCTGTCTGAAATCCTGAACTCGACTCTGCTTCTACTCTGTTCTGCCGTTGACGCTCGCGTTTAGCTCGTTCAGCTCGTTGAAGTTCGTCGGAGCTTAACAAGTTTGATTTGCCGCGAGAGCGTGTTTGCATACACCTGAGAGTAAGACAAAGCAAAGCCCAGGCAGATTAGGTGTGTAAGTTGCAGAAATTTAAAAACTTGAACTTGAATTTTTCCAAAATCGAAAAATCCCAATCAAATCCCCAAGATTGGCAACGGCGCCAGTTTGAAAACAAGATTTTTAGTAGATCCAAACCCTCAAATCTCTGCTCATATCATTGCAGTATAGTTTAAGGTATCAATCCAAATCTCAGGAGAAGATTGGGTTTTAAAGATTGAACAAGAAAGTTCAAGCCAAGAACAAGATTTGGTTTTTATGAAATCCGAACGTTAAACAGTAAAATACAAACTTAGAACAGTGAAATAACGGTCCAAATCAAATTCAAAGAGGAAAGAAATCGACTTTGAGCTAAAAGACTTGAACTTTGATAGAAAATGAAGAAAGGCGATGGCTTTAGGTGATTTCGGATGGAAATCGAGCTAAAGGAAGAAGCTTTAAGACTTAGAAGATAAAACCGAGTTTCTAGGCTAAGGAAAACGAAAGCAAGAGCTTATCACTATCGTGAATGAGCTCGAATGCAAGGTCCAAACTCAAGAGCTCACTATCGTGAGTGAGCTTGTACACAAGCAAGCTTTAAACGCAGATCCCATCACCAAAAAGCCCTCTAAACAAATCGCTATCGCGAGCTAGAAAGCGGATCCCTTGTCTTAGATTATCTAGCTCCTCAAACACACTTTTGATGTGTTGAGAGCTTGAGATCTGAGCCAAGATGATCAGAAATGACTCAGCCTTAAGGGCACTAAGCAAGGAGAAACTCTAAAGGTCTAGCTTTAAGCTCAAACTCTCCTTTAAAGCTCTCAAAACCGAATCACCTAAAACGATCTAAGACTACTCACTCATCCTGTTTGACAACCCGATTCTCATAAGAGGAAGGTTGTTATACAAGTTAAGTGAGTTTCCTCAATCTGGAGTCACAGAGGTACATTTCGGACTCCTTACCTCTTCCGGTTCCCAAATTAGGTCCATTTGATGTTCCTCCCTTGGATTGAGACCGTTTCAGTCATGTTTGTCCTCATAGTCATGTGTAGAAGCTATTAATCCATGTTTGGGTAAGTATGGAACCATCTAGTTCATCTTATACACTACAAGTGAGTTTCCACAATCTGGAGTCACAGAGGTACATTTCGGACTCCTTACCTCTTCCGGTTCCCAAATTAGGTCCATTTGATGTTCCTCCCTTGGATTGAGACCGTTTCAGTCATGTTTGTCCTCATAGTCATGTGTAGAAGCTATTAATCCATGTTTGGGTAAGTATGGAACCATCTAGTTCATCTTATACACTACAAGTGAGTTTCCACAATCTGGAGTCACAGAGGTACATTTCGGACTCCTTACCTCTTCCGGTTCCCAAATTAGGTCCATTTGATGTTCCTCCCTTGGATTGAGACCGTTTCAGTCATGTTTGTCCTCATAGTCATGTGTAGAAGCTATTAATCCATGTTTGGGTAAGTATGGAACCATCTAGTTCATCTTATACACTACAAGTGAGTTTCCTCAATCTGGAGTCACAGAGGTACATTTCGGACTCCTTACCTCTTCCGGTTCCCAAATTAGGTCCATTTGATGTTCCTCCCTTGGATTGAGACCGTTTCAGTCATGTTTGTCCTCATAGTCATGTGTAGAAGCTATTAATCCATGTTTGGGTAAGTATGGAACCATCTAGTTCATCTTATACACTACAAGTGAGTTTCCTCAATCTGGAGTCACAGAGGTACATTTCGGACTCCTTACCTCTTCCGGTTCCCAAATTAGGTCCATTTGATGTTCCTCCCTTGGATTGAGACCGTTTCAGTCATGTTTGTCCTCATAGTCATGTGTAGAAGCTATTAATCCATGTTTGGGTAAGTATGGAACCATCTAGTTCATCTTATACACTACAAGTGAGTTTCCTCAATCTGGAGTCACAGAGGTACATTTCGGACTCCTTACCTCTTCCGGTTCCCAAATTAGGTCCATTTGATGTTCCTCCCTTGGATTGAGACCGTTTCAGTCATGTTTGTCCTCATAGTCATGTGTAGAAGCTATTAATCCATGTTTGGGTAAGTATGGAACCATCTAGTTCATCTTATACACTACAAGTGAGTTTCCTCAATCTGGAGTCACAGAGGTACATTTCGGACTCCTTACCTCTTCCGGTTCCCAAATTAGGTCCATTTGATGTTCCTCCCTTGGATTGAGACCGTTTCACTCATGTTTGTCCTCATAGTCATGTGTAGAAGCTATTAATCCATGTTTGGGTAAGTATGGAACCATCTAGTTCATCTTATACACTACAAGTGAGTTTCCTCAATCTGGAGTCACAGAGGTACATTTCGGACTCCTTACCTCTTCCGGTTCCCAAATTAGGTCCATTTGATGTTCCTCCCTTGGATTGAGACCGTTTCAGTCATGTTTGTCCTCATAGTCATGTGTAGAAGCTATTAATCCATGTTTGGGTAAGTATGGAACCATCTAGTTCATCTTATACACTACAAGTGAGTTTCCACAATGTGGAGTCACAGAGGTACATTTCGGACTCCTTACCTCTTCCGGTTCCCAAATTAGGTCCATTTGATGTTCCTCCCTTGGATTGAGACCGTTTCAGTCATGTTTGTCCTCATAGTCATGTGTAGAAGCTATTAATCCATGTTTGGGTAAGTATGGAACCATCTAGTTCATCTTATACACTACAAGTGAGTTTCCACAATCTGGAGTCACAGAGGTACATTTCGGACTCCTTACCTCTTCCGGTTCCCAAATTAGGTCCATTTGATGTTCCTCCCTTGGATTGAGACCGTTTCAGTCATGTTTGTCCTCATAGTCATGTGTAGAAGCTATTAATCCATGTTTGGGTAAGTATGGAACCATCTAGTTCATCTTATACACTACAAGTGAGTTTCCTCAATCTGGAGTCACAGAGGTACATTTCGGACTCCTTACCTCTTCCGGTTCCCAAATTAGGTCCATTTGATGTTCCTCCCTTGGATTGAGACCGTTTCAGTCATGTTTGTCCTCATAGTCATGTGTAGAAGCTATTAATCCATGTTTGGGTAAGTATGGAACCATCTAGTTCATCTTATACACTACAAGTGAGTTTCCTCAATCTGGAGTCACAGAGGTACATTTCGGACTCCTTACCTCTTCCGGTTCCCAAATTAGGTCCATTTGATGTTCCTCCCTTGGATTGAGACCGTTTCAGTCATGTTTGTCCTCATAGTCATGTGTAGAAGCTATTAATCCATGTTTGGGTAAGTATGGAACCATCTAGTTCATCTTATACACTACAAGTGAGTTTCCTCAATCTGGAGTCACAGAGGTACATTTCGGACTCCTTACCTCTTCCGGTTCCCAAATTAGGTCCATTTGATGTTCCTCCCTTGGATTGAGACCGTTTCAGTCATGTTTGTCCTCATAGTCATGTGTAGAAGCTATTAATCCATGTTTGGGTAAGTATGGAACCATCTAGTTCATCTTATACACTACAAGTGAGTTTCCTCAATCTGGAGTCACAGAGGTACATTTCGGACTCCTTACCTCTTCCGGTTCCCAAATTAGGTCCATTTGATGTTCCTCCCTTGGATTGAGACCGTTTCAGTCATGTTTGTCCTCATAGTCATGTGTAGAAGCTATTAATCCATGTTTGGGTAAGTATGGAACCATCTAGTTCATCTTATACACTACAAGTGAGTTTCCTCAATCTGGAGTCACAGAGGTACATTTCGGACTCCTTACCTCTTCCGGTTCCCAAATTAGGTCCATTTGATGTTCCTCCCTTGGATTGAGACCGTTTCAGTCATGTTTGTCCTCATAGTCATGTGTAGAAGCTATTAATCCATGTTTGGGTAAGTATGGAACCATCTAGTTCATCTTATACACTACAAGTGAGTTTCCTCAATCTGGAGTCACAGAGGTACATTTCGGACTCCTTACCTCTTCCGGTTCCCAAATTAGGTCCATTTGATGTTCCTCCCTTGGATTGAGACCGTTTCAGTCATGTTTGTCCTCATAGTCATGTGTAGAAGCTATTAATCCATGTTTGGGTAAGTATGGAACCATCTAGTTCATCTTATACACTACAAGTGAGTTTCCTCAATCTGGAGTCACAGAGGTACATTTCGGACTCCTTACCTCTTCCGGTTCCCAAATTAGGTCCATTTGATGTTCCTCCCTTGGATTGAGACCGTTTCAGTCATGTTTGTCCTCATAGTCATGTGTAGAAGCTATTAATCCATGTTTGGGTAAGTATGGAACCATCTAGTTCATCTTATACACTACAAGTGAGTTTCCTCAATCTGGAGTCACAGAGGTACATTTCGGACTCCTTACCTCTTCCGGTTCCCAAATTAGGTCCATTTGATGTTCCTCCCTTGGATTGAGACCGTTTCAGTCATGTTTGTCCTCATAGTCATGTGTAGAAGCTA